TGATGAGACAAAAATATAGCTTTTTGGTCTAAACTCCACTCGCCGTGTTTGGAGGAAGAAGAAGGATGAGTACAACCCCAAGAACACCATCCCAACCGTGAAGCATGGAGGTGGAAACATCATTCTTTGGGGATGCTTTTCTGCAAAGGGGACAGGACGACTGCACCGTATTGAGGGGAGGATGGATGGGGCCATGTATCGCGAGATCTTGGCCAACAACCTCCTTCCCTCAGTAAGAGCATTGAAGATGGGTCGTGGCTGGGTCTTCCAGCATGACAATGACCCGAAACACACAGCCAGGGCAACTAAGGAGTGGCTCCGTAAGAAGCATCTCAAGGTCCTGGAGTGGCCTAGCCAGTCTCCAGACCTGAACCCAATAGAAAATCTTTGGAGGGAGCTGAAAGTCCATATTGCCCAGCGACAGCCCCGAAACCTGAAGGATCTGGAGAAGGTCTGTATGGAGGAGTGGGCCAAAATCCCTGCTGCAGTGTGTGCAAACCTGGTCAAGACCTACAGGAAACGTATGATCTCTGTAATTGCAAACAAAGGTTTCTGTACCAAATATTAAGTTCTGCTTTTCTGATGTATCAAATACTTATGTCATGCAATAAAATGCAAATTAATTATTTAAAAATCATACAATGTGAATTTCTGGATTTTTGTTTTAGATTCTGTCTCTCACAGTTGAAGTTTACCTATGATAAAAATTCCAGACCTCTACATGCTTTGTAAGTAGGAAAACCTGCAAAATCGGCAGTGTATCAAATACTTGTTCTCCCCACTGTATGTGTGGGGTACAAAGATGAGGTAGTCATTAGAAAATCATGTTAACCACTATTATTGCACACAGAGTGAGTCCATGCGACTTATTATGTGACTTGTTAAGAACAATTAAACAAAGGGGTTGAATACTTATTGACTCTGTGGTCCTCTGTAGCTCAGCTGGTAGAGCACGGCGCTTGTAACGCCAGGGTAGTGGGTTCGATCCCCGGGACCACCCATACACAATAATGTATGCACACATGACTGTAAGTCGCTTTGGATAAAAGCGTCTGCTAAATGGCATATTATTATTATTACTCTGGACACATCAGCTTTTCATTTTGTATTAATTTGTGTAAAAATGTCTAAAAACATAATTCCACTTTGACATTATGGCATATTGTGTGTAGTGACACGAAATATCAATTTCAACTATTTTAAATTCAGGCTGTAACACAACAAAATGTGGACAAAGTCAAGGGGTGTGAATAGTATCTGAAGGCACTGTATTTATAGCCAAAGTAATGTATTTAAAGCCCAAAATAGGCCTCTTTATTTGTGTTAAATGTGAATGTGATCAAATGTTGTTTACATTCAAACTTCAGGTGGCTAGGCTAGCTAGACCTTATCGATCCAAAATAATTGACTGGAATTGATCAATCAACACAATAGGAATGGTATACTGTGTGAGTAACTTTTCAATTACAGATGCAAAGGCCTACATGATGCAACCCTGCATTAAGTAAACTCAGTCCTGTTTGTTTTATTGTCCAATCGCAGTTGTCTGCTTTTTTTTTTTACCCTATGACCTGATTAGAAAAAATCTGGTCCCATCATAGCCCATATAAAACTGTTTTACATCTGATTTATTAGTATGTCATACCTTCCAACTAGGGTCCGGAGTTTTGCATGGTTAGGTTAGCCCAGTGGTTCTCAAACCTCTCATCGGGGACCCCCAGAAATGTCACAATTTTGTTTTAGCCCTGAACTAGTCCCCCTGTCTGTACAACACATATTGCAGGGAACTTTGAAATGTGAGATGATGTATCCATGACTGTTTATTGAAATACCCACCCCCTCCCCACCACATCTTGGACCTGTAATGCCACCACTGAAATCACACAATGTTACAAATTAAGAAATGTATCCTATAAGTATGCTCTACTATCTAAAAATGTTGAGTTAGTTTCTCGAAATTTCAACATAGTATCTCGGAATTTCGACTTAGTATATCAAAATGTTTGTATAGTATCTTGAAATGTTTACTTACGTATCTCGAAAATGTGACTTATTATCAAAACAATTTGAGATACTAAGTCGAAATTTCAAGATACTATCTCGGAATTTGAGACATTATCTCGAAATTTTTAGATAGTATTGTCACGATCGTCAGGGTAAGGAGTAGACCAAGGCGCAGCGTTGCAGGCAAACATACTCATTTATTAAGCGAAACGATATCAAAACAACAAAAGACGGAAACGTGACAGTACACGGTATAACACAACCAACTCGAAACAAGAACCCACAAAACACAAAGGAAAACCGACAGTTTAAATATGGCTCCCAATCAGAGACAACCAGCAAACAGCTGACACTCGTTGCCTCTGATTGGGAGTCACTCAGGCCAACATAGAAAAACACAACCTAGAACACCCAACATAGAAACAGAACACATAGAATAAACACACCCTGGCTCAACAAATAGAGTCCCAGAGCCAGGGTGTGACAGTACCCCCCCCTAAAGGCGCGGACTGCGACCGCGCCTCAATAAGAGCTAAACAGGGGAGGGCTGGGTGGGCATACCTCCTCGGCGGCGGTTCTGGCTCCGGCCTTGCCCACCACCCTCCAATCAACCCCCCATAGCGCCCCTGGTCCGGTCTAGCCCCGCTGGCCGGAGCCGGACTGACGACACGCACCCCTGGCTTGGTGCGTGGAGCAGGAACGGACCGGACCGGGCTGACGATGCGCACCCCTGGCTTGGTGCGTGGAGTAGCACCTGGCCGAACCGGGCTGACGATACACACCCCTGGCTTGGTGCGTGGAGCAGGAATGGACCGGACCGGCCTGATGATGCGCACCCCTGGCTTGGTGCGTGGAGTAGCAACTGGCCGGACCGGGCTGACGACTCGCACCCCTGGCTTTGTGCGTGGAGCCGGAACGGGCCTCACCGGACTGACGACTCGCACCCCTGGCTTGGTGCGTGGAGCCGGAACGGGCCTCACCGGACTGACGACTCGCACCCCTGGCTTGGTGCGTGGAACCGGAACGGGCCTCACCGGACTGACGACTCGCTCCCCTGGCTTGGTGCGAGTAGCAGGAACGGGCTGGACCAGGCTGACGACTCGCACCCCTGGCTTGGTGCGAGTAGCAGGAACGTTCTGGACCAGGCTGACGACTCGCACCCCTGGCTTGGTGCGAGTGGCAGGAACAGGCTGGACCAGGCTGACGACTCGCACCCCTGGCTTGGTGCGAGTGGCAGGAACAGGCCGGGCCGGGCTGGCGACTCGCACCCCTGGCTTGGTGCGAGTGGCAGGAACAGGCCGGGCCGGGCTGGCGACGCGCACCGTAGGTTTGGTGCGAGTGGCAGGAACAGGCCGGGCCGGGCTGGCGACGCGCACCGTAGGTTTGGTGCGAGTGGCAGGAACAGGCCGGGCCGGGCTGGCGACGCACACCGTAGGTTTGGTGCGAGTGGCAGGAACAGGCCGGGCCGGGCTGGCGACGCACACCGTAGGTTTGGTGCGTGGAGCAGGGACAGGCCGGGCTGGGCTGGCGACGCACCCCGTAGGCTTGGTGCGTGGAGCAGGGACAGGCCGGGCTGGGCTGGCGACGCACCCCGTAGGCTTGGTGCGTGGAGCAGGGACAGGCCGGGCTGGGCTGGCGACGCACCCCGTAGGCTTGGTGCGTGGAGCAGGGACAGGCCGGGCTGGGCTGGCGACGCACACCGTAGGCTTGGTGCGTGGAGCAGGGACAGGCCGGACTGGGCTGGCGACGCACCCCGTAGGCTTGGTGCGAGGGGCAGGAACAGGCCGGGCCGGGCTGGTGACGCACATCGTAGGCTTGGTGCGAGAGGCAGGAACAGGCCGGGCTGGGCTGGCGACGCGCACCGTACACTTAGTGCGGGAAGCAGGAACGAGCCGGGCCGGGCTGGCGACGTGCACCGTACACTTAGTGCGGGAAGCAGGAACGGGCCGGACCGGACTGGTGACGCACACCACTTGCTTGGTGTGAGGAGCGGGACTGGGTTTCATCATAACCCTCCGCTCCTTCAGCTGCCTACCGAGTTCCTCTCGCCGTGCCTCATTTCTCACCCTTTCCCTAATCGCCTCTAATAGCTCCATCCTCTGCAACACTAACTCCTGCTCCCTCTTCGCCAGTAGCCCCCTTAACCTGGTGGCCTCCTCACCTAATCGCCCTGTGGCAGCCTCCTGCTGCCCAGTCGCCCCTGCCGTGTGCCCCCCCCTAAAAATGTTTTGGGGTTGCCTCTCGACCGTCCAACGCTGACACTGCTTACGCCGTTGCTCCTCTCTCCGTCGCCTCTCAATTGTCTCACTCCATGGCCGGCGATCCATCCCGGCCAGGATCTCCTCCCAGGTCCAGGACCCCTGCCCGTCCAAAATCTGTTCCCACGTCCAGGCTGCCGATTCCTGGACACGCTGCTTGGTCCTGGTATGGTGGGTTCTTCTGTCACGATCGTCAGGGTAAGGAGTAGACCAAGGCGCAGCGTTGCAGGCAAACATACTCATTTATTAAGCGAAACGATATCAAAACAACAAAAGGCAGAAACGTGACAGTACACGGTATAACACAACCAACTCTAAACAAGAACCCACAAAACACAAAGGAAAACCGACAGTTTAAATATGGCTCCCAATCAGAGACAACCAGCAAACAGCTGACACTCGTTGCCTCTGATTGGGAGTCACTCAGGCCAACATAGATAAACACAACCTAGAACACCCAACATAGAAACAGAACACATAGAATAAACACACCCTGGCTCAACAAATAGAGTCCCAGAGCCAGGGTGTGACAAGTATACACATAGAAAAAATATATACTTGCCGGTAATGGGCTTCCTTACAAATCTTTTGAACTGTTTGTGCTAGAAACTTGCAGTTTCCGCTGTAGTAAGGGTGCAACCATGATACTAATGATTCTGCGGTCGCTGTTTCATTACAACAATTATTATCTGGGTGATTTTTATTCTAGGTGCACTGGTGCTCCCAAATTAGAATTCCAGGTCGCACAACTAAATATTTAGGAGCATATGCGACCAAAATGGTCACACTTTATAGCTCTGCACACGCACACACGCATGCATGCACACACACACATACAGTGATGGGAGGGACTGATCATAACCAGTCTGACAGGCTTAACCATCATTTCATCCTCAGCATCCAGCCAAGCCATACCAGGCATTCTTTTAGACTCACGTGAGTACATCACACTCTCTCAATCAAACACACACTTTTATAAACAGCTTTACCTACATAACCACTCACTCACACGCACACGGATCATACAATGTAATTGATATGGCTCTCACTTAAAAACACATATTTGTAACAACACTATTTGTGTATTTTCGCAACACATTCTGAGGTCATATTACACTGCAAGCCTTTTACAGGAGACACAGTGGGAAAGCAAAGGGAGTGTGGCAGAGGAACCATCACAAGGACCGAGAAGAGTGCTAGGATCACAGTCATAGGAGCGGTCCCACTCCGGTCCGAGGAAAGTTACAGTTGGGGTCTTAGTACAGAGTATGGTTGGTATAACAGTCTGCAGTGGTCATGTTACGGTCGAAACAAGAACGATCAACGGGCAACGCGATGACTATATTTAAAACATAAAAGCAGTGATCACACTACTCCGGGATTGTTTGTATTACGTTCAAATTAGCAGTGAGAGACGGTCAACACAGTGATTGCACACTTGATCACGGCAGCGCTCCCACTCTTCTCCATACAGAGGGGCTATGAGACTGAGAAGGAGATTTTTTGACAGCCTGTTAATACTGGTCCTCAACATCGTCACAAACTGTAAGTACTGCAGCAACACACACTGTCCTGCTATTTAACAGCATTGGAAGAAGTTGCCTCAAACTGCTGATGTAGGATCAGATATTATTTCCATCCCCCAATGGTTAAGGTTAGCATTGGGGTAGTGTGATTTGATCCTAGATCTGTAGTTAGATGCAAATTCTACCTCAAGCCTATTGATCACAGCTAGCCTATTTACAGTATGTTTATTTCTACATGTTATACTGTATATGAAACCAATGGCAAACAGAGAGCAGAAGCAGAAAAGTGAGGTATAAGGTGCGGTGTGCTTGTATCCTGATATGGGTGTGTCATCCAAGGTGGTGGACAATGACCGTGGAAATACATTTATGTTCTCATGTGCCAGATTCATAGGCATAAATGAAACCAGAAACATAGGTGAGAACTGCTGTAGGGTTGTTAAAAATGTGTGAGTATGCTACAATGTGTGCATTTCAGCGGAGGCTGCTGCGGGGAGGACAGCTCATAATAATGGCTGGAACAGAGCAAATGGAATGGCATCAAAGACCTGGAAACGATGCGTTTGATGTATTTTATACCATTGCACTAATTCCGCTCCAGTCATTACCACGATACTAATGATTCTGCGGTCGCTGTTTCATTACAACAATTATTATCTGGGTGATTTTTATTCTAGGTGCACTGGTGCTCCCAAATTAGAATTCCAGGTCGCACAACTAAATATTTAGGAGCATATGCGACCAAAATGGTCACACTTTATAGCTCTGCACACGCACACACGCATGCATGCACACACACACATACAGTGATGGGAGGGACTGATCATAACCAGTCTGACAGGCTTAACCATCATTTCATCCTCAGCATCCAGCCAAGCCATACCAGGCATTCTTTTAGACTCACATGAGTACATCACACTCTCTCAATCAAACACACACTTTTATAAACAGCTTTACCTACATAACCACTCACTCACACGCACACGGATCATACAATGTAATTGATATGGCTCTCACTTAAAAACACATATTTGTAACAACACTATTTGTGTATTTTCGCAACACATTCTGAGGTCATATTACACTGCAAGCCTTTTACAGGAGACACAGTGGGAAAGCAAAGGGAGTGTGGCAGAGGAACCATCACAAGGACCGAGAAGAGTGCTAGGATCACAGTCATAGGAGCGGTCCCACTCCGGTCCGAGGAAAGTTTAAGTTACAGTTGGGGTCTTAGTACAGAGTATGGTTGGTATAACAGTCTGCAGTGGTCATGTTACGGTCGAAACAAGAACGATCAACGGGCAACGCGATGACTATATTTAAAACATAAAAGCAGTGATCACACTACTCCGGGATTGTTTGTATTACGTTCAAATTAGCAGTGAGAGACGGTCAACACAGTGATTGCACACTTGATCACGGCAGCGCTCCCACTCTTCTCCATACAGAGGGGCTATGGGACTGAGAAGGAGATTTTTTGACAGACTGTTAATACTGGTCCTCAACATCGTCACAAACTGTAAGTACTGCAGCAACACACACTGTCCTGCTATTTAACAGCATTGGAAGAAGTTGCCTCAAACTGCTGATGTAGGATCAGATATTATTTCCATCCCCCAATGGTTAAGGTTAGCATTGGGGTAGTGTGATTTGATCCTAGATCTGTAGTTAGATGCAAATTCTACCTCAAGCCTATTGATCACAGCTAGCCTATTTACAGTATGTTTATTTCTACATGTTATACTGTATATGAAACCAATGGCAAACAGAGAGCAGAAGCAGAAAAGTGAGGTATAAGGTGCGGTGTGCTTGTATCCTGATATGGGTGTGTCATCCAAGGTGGTGGACAATGACCGTGGAAATACATTTATGTTCTCATGTGCCAGATTCACAGGCATAAATGAAACCAGAAACATAGGTGAGAACTGCTGTAGGGCTGTCACAAATTTGTGAGTATGCTACAATGTGTGCATTTCAGCGGAGGCTGCTGCGGGGAGGACAGCTCATAATAATGGCTGGAACAGAGCAAACGGAATGGCATCAAAGACCTGGAAACGATGCGCTTGATGTATTTTATACCATTGCACTAATTCCGCTCCTGTCATTACCACGAGCCCGTCCTCCCCAATTAAGGTGCCACCAACCTCCTGTGGTGCATCTATACAACATGTCCATTAAAGGTAGATGACACTGAAGATGTTTTGAAGGAGAAAAACAGAATTATGCCTGAGGGAGAGGGTGTAACACAGTTAATGCCATGGCTGATATGATTGGAAACTTGAGAATCCTGTATGTGTGTGTGTGTGTGTGTGTGTGTGTGTGTGTGTGTCACAGGATGTCTAACACTTATTTCCCAAGGCTAAACCGCATGCAAGTGGGTTTAGAATGCTGTGAATGTGTTTACGTGTGTGCTAAAGCATTTGTGCACATAAATCTACAGTATGTGTTTGTGAACAAGACAACAGGTCCTTCTGTGTGCTTAGAACATAAATTCCCCTAAAGACCGGATTCTGTCAAACTTGCACTGATCAAGGAAAGATAGACACATAGCACTCACTCATACCAAAGCCTGTAAAAATGGGACCTGATGCGTCGTTGCTTTGCACTCAGCATTAGCATCCTGTCCAGGGGGTGTACTTGTACATCCAGCTGCCTCACGCTACAGAAACCGGAGATAGGCTTCTGCTCCTACGAGCTGTTCCGGCTTGCACAAGCCAAAGCTTGACACTTAATCAGCTTGGAATATTGCAAATCTTTGTTTTTAGCAAGGGGCTATGTTTTAATAGCAGATTTGATCACTGTTGTGGGCATGTCCACCTAATTACATTCCAATGTTTTTATATTTACTCTGTTTATCTGTTTAATTTCAGATTCCTGGCTGCTGCCATCGCCGTGGGGAATTTCCATGGAGTCCGTAAACATGAGGCACTTGCTCAAGTGGCACCGTCAACAGTCTCCTTGCAGTTCTATCATCTACTCTGTGCAGTTCCAGGGGTGAGTCAATCACTTCTGAAACATTACAGGAATGTTCAGACACATTGACGATAATACTGCTATTCCCAATACTGCTAAATGGGCTTTCTCTGACTTTTTCACTTTCATCCTTTTTCTCTGGCTGATTGGCGGGAACTGTACACTGAGAATGCAGCCCGGGCAGTGGGCTAAAACCTGTAACAATTGATTTAGATGAGATTCCCCCCCTCCCCTCTAAATTACCACCCCCTGTTGCTAAATAGCACCAATGGTGACATTTGTCTCTTCTTAAACCAGACGCAATTTCCTCTAATAACAAATAGTGTCTCAAAAATGTCTGTTTTATCAATACCCATGAGGAGGCGGCAATTATACAAATATTAAGTAAACAGCGCAATGTTACACTTGCTAATTGCGAGCTGCAGTATTTTTTATTTACAAGATACGCTTATCCAAAGCGGCTTACAGTTTAAGGTAGCTAGGTGAGACAACCACATATCACAGTCATAGTAAGAAAACCTTTTCCTCAATAAAGCAGCTTTCTAACCATGACTGTGCTATGTGGTTATCTCACCTAACTCTGGATAAGAGCATCTTCTAAATACTGCAGCTCGCAATTAGCAAGAGTAACATTGCACTGTTTACTTTATTTTTATAATTGCCTCCTTCTCATGGGCATTGATAAAACTGACGTGTTTGAGACATCACACTATTTGTTTAGAGGACATTGCGTCTGGTTTAAGAAGGGGGTGGTAACTGAGAAGACGTAAAGGTTAGTTAACCACAAGCATGGAACATTAATGTCAAAAAATATGGAACATTAATGTCAAAAATATTTATCATGCAGACAAACAAAAGGACAATAAACATTTGCTCTGGGTATAATGTGTCAATATGAGCTGGCTAATGTATTTCCATGCGTCCTGTAGGGAATTTGAGCTGAGGATCATGAATGGCAGTTGGGAGGACGCGGTTGGTTGTCAGCAGGTCACGCGGACTGAGTGCGACCTGACCTTTGACCTTGGTTCTGACTCAGACTACAACATCCGTGTGCGGGCAGAGTGCGGAAGGCGTGTGTCACCGTGGGCTGAGCTCGGGAGGCCCTTCAACAGGAGAGAGAGTGAGGCATTGTGGGACATCTACGTCAATATACATTTTTTTGATGCCATGGCAATAGTTGGTCAATACATTCATTTTATAATTCCTTCATACATCCAAGGAAACTAAGACAAACTGGAGATATTATATACATTAATTCATCTCTACAGCATTTGTACTAATATTAGCTGAAGACAAAACACTTACCCAAGTGCACAACAGCCATACAAAATGCCAAAACATTTAAACAAGCAGCCTTCCGGTCATTATTATGACAATACAGTGTCCGATTACTATGTGAAATTTCAAAAATGTTGTACGCTTTAAATCCAGGGTATCATACTTATTTCCAACCCAGTATCACAGATGATTGTGAAATAGACACAAATTGCTTATTGGAAATGTGTGTAATGTACACGAATGTGTTATGAAGAAAGAAAATTGCGTTGTGATGAAAATCATGTAATACACACAACAATTCTAATTAGAATTTGCTGCACACTATTGAGGAAGAGAGTTGTCTTTTCAGACCCACATGTGTTTGACAACAGCTGATACAGTGGGGAATTTTTAGTCAGCCACCAATTGTGCAAGTTCTCCCACTTAAAAAGATGAGAGATGCCTGTAATTTTCATCATAGGTACACGTCAACTATGACAGACAAAATGAGAAAAAAAAATCCAGAAAATCACATTGTAGGATTTTTAATGAATTTATTTGCAAATTATGGTGGAAAATAAGTATTTGGTCAATAACAAAAGTTGCTCAATACTTTGTTATATACCCTTTGTTGGCAATGACACAGGTCAAACGTTTTCTGTAAGTCTTCACAAGGTTTTCACACACTGTTGCTGGTATTTTGGCCCATTCCTCCATGCAGATCTCCTCTAGAGCAGTGATGTTTTGGGGCTGTTGCTGGGCAACACGGACTTTCAACTCCCTCCAAAGATTTTCTATGGGGTTGAGATCTGGAGACTGGCTAGGCCACTCCAGGACTTTGAAATGCTTCTTACGAAGCCACTCCTTCGTTGCCCGGGCGGTGTGTTTGGGATCATTGTCATGCTGAAAGACCCAGCCACGTTTCATCTTCAATGCCCTTGCTGATGGAAGGAGGTTTTCACTCAAAATCTCACGATACATGGCCCCATTCATTCTTTCCTTTACACGGATCAGTCGTCCTGGTCCCTTTTCAGAAAAACAGCCCCAAAGCATGATGTTTCCACCCCCATGCTTCACAGTAGGTATGGTGTTCTTTGGATGCAACTCAGCATTCTTTGTCCTCCAAACACGACGAGTTGAGTTTTTACCAAAAAGTTCTATTTTGGTTTCATCTGACCATATGACATTCTCCCAATCCTCTTCTGGATCATCCAAATGCACTCTAGCAAACTTCAGACGGGCCTGGACATGTACTGGCTTAAGCAGGGGGACACGTCTGGCACTGCAGGATTTGAGTCCCTGGCGGCGTAGTGTGTTACTGATGGTAGGCTTTGTTACTTTGGTCCCAGCTCTCTGCAGATCATTCACTAGGTCCCCCCGTGTGGTTCTGGGATTTTTGCTCACCGTTCTTGTGATCATTTTGACCCCACGGGGTGAGATCTTGCGTCGAGGGATCGAGGGAGATAATCAGTGGTCTTGTATGTCTTCCATTTCCTAATAATTGCTCCCACAGTTGATTTCTTCAAACCAAGCTGCTTACCTATTGCAGATTCAGTCTTCCCAGCCTGGTGCAGGTCTACAATTTTGTTTCTGGTGTCCTTTGACAGCTCTTTGGTCTTGGCTATAGTGGAGTTTGGAGTGTGACTGTTTGAGGTTGTGGACAGGTGTCTTTTATACTGATAACAAGTTCAAACAGGTGCCATTAATACAGGTAACGAGTGGAGGACAGAGGAGCCTCTTAAAGAAGAAGTTACAGGTCTGTGAGAGCCTGAAATCTTGCTTGTTTGTAGGTGACCAAATACTTATTTTCCACCATAATTTGCAAATAAATTCATAGAAAATCCTACAATGTGATTTTCTGTATTTTCTTTTCTCAATTTGTCTGTCATAGTTGACGTGTACCTATGATGAAAATTACAGGCCTCTCTCATCTTTTTAAGTGGGAGAACTTGCACAATTGGTGGCTGATTAAATACTTTTTCCCCCCACTGTATTCAGATAAGGGAATGCTGACAGGCTGTACCAAAATTAACGAATGGCGGGGAACAACCTAATTGCGCATTAGATGAGTGGCGCAGTGGTCGATGCAGTGGTCTAAGGCACTGCATCGCAGTGCTAACTTTGCCACTAGAGATCCTGGTTCGAATCCAGGCTCTGTCGCAGCCGGCCGCGACCGGGAGACTCATGGGCGGCGCACAATTGGCCCAGCGTCGTCCAGGGTAGGGGAGGGAATGGCCGGCAGGGATGTAGCTCAGTTGATAGAGCATGGCGTTTGCAACGCCAGGGTTGTGGGCTCGATTCCCACGGGGGGCCAGTATAAAAAAAAAAAATGTATTCACTAACTGTAAGTCGCTCTGGATAAGAGCGTCTGCTAAATGACTAAAATGTAAATGTAAATGTAATGAAGCCTTCTCAGTATGCATGAGCGTAGTATGTTTCTATTTCTTCAGTTTTAACTAAGCAGTATGTTCTAGGTAGTATGGTTAGCACATAGTATGTAGTAGGCAAGAACGATTTCAGACACAGCCTATGTTTGTGACTTACTATGACTTTCACCTTCCACACAGCAATTCTGACAGTGCCAGCTATGACCGTGACCACCATGGGTGATGCCCTTCAGGTGACTTTCAAAGGCCTTCCCCTGATCGTGGGAGTGACCGTGACTATCTGGAAGAAAGGCGAGTTGGTAAGGCTGAGGATATTACATGTATATTATAGTCATGCAGGGATTTTTCTGCCATAGAAATCCTTCGGCGGGCCGCCTAAGCACTTTTTTGGGTCGTATAAGTCCAAACAGTGTAAAAAAAAATATATAAAAAATATAAAGAAAATATAAAGAAATTATTTCCGTGGTGGAAAAACGCTTTCAGTGTAAACTTAAATGACTAAAACCAGATATAAAGTATGTAGAAAAGATAATCGAATCTAATCTAATCCTATATATATATATTTTTATAATAGAATCTTTGAGAACTAACAATTACCTAGACAGTCAGAGAGAATTTAAAATAAAAAAACAATGAATTTAGCAGTTTTGATTTTGTTGTTATGTTTGTGCATAATAACACAGTATTAGCCATGGCTAAATGCATAGAATGGCAGGATATTAGCTTTAAAACAGCAAACAAATGCTCTCATCTCCATGGCAGAATATGTAGAATCTCAGGAAATGAGATTTAAAACTGCTACATTTTCTCTCAACTCCATGCAAAATGTGTCGAATTGCAGGAAATTTGCTTTAAAACGAAAAAAAACTTCTCAGCTCCATGGAGAAATTCGTAGAGTTGCAGGAAATTGGCATAAAAATGCAAAAATGTATCTACACCGCCAAGATGGAGGCCTCAAAAATGTTTTCTAAAATGACAACCACGGCCATTGCCACGCCCCCTGCCACACCCACCACCTAAGCCCCTTTTTGATCTAGAAAAATCCCTGTCATGTATTGTGTGGTGGGAGAGAGATTGGAGCTTGTTGTGTGGGGGATGCCTAGGGATTGGCGCAAGGGATTGGTTTGGAATTGGTCCCAAAGGTGACCCCCTAGGTAGCATGATAATGACCTCCTCCTATTAAACTCACATCAAGCAGTGGTTGAGTTCTCTTCAGCAGCGTCTCACTGTGCTCTGTCTCCAAGGGCAAGTCCTCCTTGCGTGTGATCACAGTGCAACAGAATCCGCTCCACATCGATGCCCTGCAGGAGGGAGCAGTGTACTGCGTCAAAGCCCAGGCCCATCTGGACACACACAGCAAGAGCAGCAGCACTGACACACAGTGTGTCTCCATCACAGGTGGGTTGTAAATTATAATACACACTCATAGACACACACATTCTGTTAAAAAGACTGTTTGTCAGACGGTCTTTGGCAATTGGTCCTTCGAGACAGATATAGATATGGCCTTTTTAACACACAAACTGATCAGGCAATGGTATACTTTATCATTATGTGTACCATGGAAAGAAGATCCAAAACATAACATCTTGTATCTATTTCACGTACGCATACAGTCGTGGTCAAAAGTTTTGAGAATGACACAAATATTAATTTTCACAAAGTCTGCTGCCTCAGTTTTTATGATGGCAATTTGCATATACTCCAGAATGTTATGAAGAGTGATCAGATGAATTGCAATTAATTGCAAAGTCCCTCTTTGCCATGAAAATGAACTTAATCCCCAAAAAACATTTCCACTGCATTTCAGCACTGCCACAAAAGGACCAGTTGACATCATGTCAGTGATTCTCTTGTTAACACAGGTGAGAGTGTTGACAAGGACAAGGCTGGAGATCACTCTGTCATGCTGATTGAGTTAGAATAACAGACTGGAAGCTTTAAAAGGAGGATGGTGCTTGAAATCATTGTTCTTCCTCTGTTAACCATGGTTACCTGCAAGGAAACATGTGCCGTCATCATTGCTTTGCACAAAAAGGGCTTCACAGGCAAGGATATTGCTGCTAGTAAGATTGCACCTAAATCAACCATTTATCGGATCATCAAGAACTTCAAGGAGAGAGGTTCAATTGTTGTGAAGAAGGCTTCAGGGAGCCCAAGAAAGTCCAGCAAGTGCCAGGACCGTCTCCTAAAGTTGATTCAGCTGCGGGATCGGGGAACCACCAGTGCAGAGCTTGCTCAGGAATGGCAGCAGGCAGGTGTGAGTGCATCTGCACGCACAGTGAGGCAAAGACATTTGGAGGATGGCCTGGTGTCAAGAAGGGCAGCGAGGAAGCCACTTCTCTCCAGGAAAAACATCAGGGACAGACTGATATTCTGCAAAAGGTACAGGGATTGGACTGCTGAGGACTGGGGTAAAGTCATTTTCTCTGATGAATCCCCTTTCCGATTGTTTGGGGCATTCAGAAAAAAGCTTGTCTGGAGAAGAGCGCTACCATCAGTCCTGTGTCATGCCAACAGTAAAGCATCCTGAGACCATTCATGTGTGGGGTTGCTTCTCAGCCAAGGGAGTGGGGTCACTCACAATTTTGCCTAACACAACCATGAATAAAGAATGGTACCAACACATCCTCCGAGACCAACTTCTCCCAACCATCCATGAACAGTTTGGTGACGAACAATGCCTTTTCCAGCATGATGGAGCACCTTGCCATAAGGCAAAAGTGATAACTAAGTGGCTTGGGGAACAAAACATCGAAATTTTGGGTCCATGGCCAGGAAACTCCCCAGACCTTAATCCCATTGAGAACTTGTGGTCAATCCTCAAGAGGCGGTAGACAAACAAAACCCCACAAATTCTGACAAACTCCAAGCATTGATTATGCAAGAATGGGCTGCCATCAGTCAGGATGTGGCCCAGAAGTTAATTGACAGCATGCCAGGGCGGATTGCTGAGGTCTTGAAAAAGAAGGGTCAACACTGCAAATATTGACTCTTTGCATAAACTTAATGTAATTGTCAATAAAAGCCTTTGACACTTATGGAATGCTTGTAATTATATTTCAGTATACCATAGTAACATCTGACAAAAATATCTAAAAACACTGAAGCAGCAAACTTTGTGAAGACCAATACTTGTGTCATTCTCAAAACTTTTGACCACGACTGTACATTTCAAACACACACCAACCACACACACACTTACACATTGGGATTCTTGATCATCTCTGTGCACTTTGTAACTGCTCTAGCAAAACAAATCTGCTAATCATGGAAACATAACCTTCTGATGGATACAGTGCGTACGTTACAGCCTTATTCTAAAATGGATTAAATTGTGTTTTTTCCTCATTAATCTACACACAATACCCCATAATAACGAAGCAAAAACAGGTTAAAACAATTTTAATAAATAAACTGAAATTCCTTCTTTACATAAGCATTCAGACCCTTTGCTATGACTCGAAATTGAGTTCAGGTGCATCCTGTTTCCATTGATCATCCTTGAGATGTTTCTACAGCTTGATTGGAGTCCACCTATGGTAAATTCAATTGATCGGACATGATTTGGAAAGGCACACACCTGTCTATATAAGGTCCCACAGTTGACAGTGCATGTCAGAGCAAAAACAAGCCATGAGGTCGAAGGCATTGTCCATAGAGCTCTGAGACAGGATTGTGTCGAGGCAGGTCTGGGGAAGGGTACCAAAAACAATTCTGCAGCATTGAAGGTCCCCAAGAACACAGTGGGCTCCATCATTCTTAAATGGAAGAAGTTTGATATCCACCAGACGCTTCCTAGAGCTGGCCACCTGGCCAAAGTCAGCAATCGGGGGAGAAGGGCCTTGGTCACGGAGTTGACCAAGAACCCGATGGTCATTCTGACAGTGCTCCAGAGTTCCTCTGTGGAGATGGGAGAACCTTCCAGAAGGACAACCATCTCTGTAGCACTCCAACAATCAGGCCTTTATGGTAGAGTGGCCAGATGGAAGCCACTCCTCAGTAAAAGGCACCACAGCCCGCTTGGAGTTTTCCAAAAGGCACCTAAAGGACTCTCAGACCATGAGAAACAAGACTCTCTGGTCTGATGAAACCAAGATTGAACTCTTTGGGCTGAATGCCAGGCGTCACATCTGGAGGAAACCTGGTGAAGCATGGTGGTGCCAGCATCATGCTGTGGGGATGCTTTTCAGTTGCAGGGACTCGGAAATTAGTCAGAATTAGTCAGAAAGCAAAGATTAACGGCGCAAAGCACAGAGAGATTCTTGATTAAGAGCGCTCTGAAGCAGGTTAGGACCTCAGACTGGGGTGAAGGTTCACCTTCCAACAGGACAACGACCCTAAGCACACAGCCAAGACAAGGCAGGAGTGGCTTCGGGACAAGTCTCTGAATGTCCTTGAGTGACCCAGCAGGAGCCCGGACTTGAACCCAATCGAACATCTCTGGAGAGACCTGAAAATAGCTGTGCAGCGACGCTCCCATCCAACCTGACAGAGCTTGAGAGGATCTGCAGAGAAGAATGGGAGTACCTCCCCAAATACAGTTGTGCCAAGCTTCTATCATCATACCTAAGAAGACTCAAGGCTGTAATTGCTGCCAAAGGTGCTTCAACAAAGTACTGAGTGAAGTGTCTGATTACTTATGTAAATGTAATATCCGTTTTTTATTTTCAATGCATTTGCAAAAATTCTGGAAAGCTGTTTTTGATTTGTCATTATAGGGTATTGTGTGTAGATTGATGAGGGAAAAATGTTTTTTTTATCCATTTTAGAATAAGGCTGTAAAGTAACAAAATGTGACTGCCGGCTCAAGTCAGTCTTATGTAGCAACATTTCAAATTGTATTTTTTACATTGGATAAAAGTTGAGAGTCAGAGCTACAAAATGGTATATCATACACTGCATTTTTGAGGAACAATGGGAAAGTAATTCTGCTTTGAAAGTTGATAAACTTGTAAACTCACTTTTGAGAAAATGGCCTTTGAATGTTTTGGAACCTACTTGAGAGCTCTCCTTTGTCTACACCCATTCAGCATTGTTCACACCCTCTTGAGCCAGCCCCACCCATTTCTTTAAGGATTCACATGTGAGGTAATGTGCTGAACAGTGAGTAGTGTAGTAAAGATTTAGACTAAAAGTGGTAAAAGTAGTAGCCTACCATAAGGAAAAATTCCAGGTAAACAGACACAAATATTGTATAAATACGCTTACCCAGACACACTTGTCTAAATTGATGGGTCATGTGAAAGAAATGCTATAACCCCCAGCCACATCTTGCTAAGTGGATGGGTCTCTACAGAAGGTGTAAACGGTACAGCAAAATGGTTACTTGCATAGTAGCAATATCAGAAATAGATAGTGTCAATATAAATTAAATAATATACAAGAATAATATCAATAACGATTTCAGTGATAGATGAGGTAGTTATATGCATACAATCAAGGGTAAAGTGGCTGAGTAGCAGGATAAAAATAATAATAATATTAGCAGCAACGTATGTGTTAGGAGAGAGTCTTTTGAATAGAGGCACTGCAGATAGTGCTGATGACTGGTCCGTCCAAACCACACATTAACAAGGGAATCTATATTCGGAGAGCCTGTTTCTGTCCTGCCCTTGACTTTGGTGCAGGGCATGTGATGTCCATAGCCTCTTCATCGCAAAACTCCCTGATCTTCTCAAAATGATACGTTTGTACAGGTGGTGCTTGTACAGGCAGACCATCTATGGGAGGAAGGATGTCAGCGTTGCGCAGCAGCTGAAACCTGGTCCCGACTGAGTCTGAACGCTCCTTGGCGACAACACCAGGCTCCAAAGCATCGAAGCTGTAAAACAGGAAATAACAACAACAAAAATTAGAAGACATTACAACCTTGCACAACATCAATTCACCTCCCAGGATATAATGCAATGAAAATGATATTCACCTGAAGTGCTGGTACTGCTTGATCTGAGCTTTCCACCAAAGTATTTGTGTCCTGGGTGGCGTCCTGGTAATACTATTGCATTATCCTCTGCGTAGTTGTTGATGAAGTTCACAACTCGCTGCATGTCCTCATGCTTCAGGTGTAACCTGTGCTTGCTTGGGCCAACTCTCTTTTTGATGGGAGGCATTAGACCATTCTCCTTGTAGGACTGGTGGAGGAGAGTCAGGTGTGTACTACTGATGCTGAAAGACAAATTCCAGATACAAATGTTTTAGCATTATTATACAATAGATAGCCGTAATCACCGTCAGACACACCTGGTTAACTTGATGGGTGGTCAGCTAGCTAGCTAACAGTAAGCTTTAACTTGGGGTCTTTTGTTTAGACATGTAGCTAACTAGCTAGCTAGCTAAACGATGAACCATAATCCAAATCCATAGAGTACTAGCAATACAAACCGATTGTCATAGCTAGCTAAAGTTAACCAAATAAGTTCACTGTTAGCTAGTTAACATTAGGCTATAACTAGCAATGTGAAATGGCATTCTGAGATATCACTACACACAGATCATACACATAATGTTAGCTTGCAAGCCAGCCATCTAACATCAGCTAGCTAGCTAACAGTATGCTTTAACTTGTTCTGTAGCTACTAGCTAGCTAGCTAAACAATTAACCATAATCCCAATCCATAGAGTACTAGCAATACAAACCGATTGTCATAGCTAGCTAAAGTTAACCAAATAGTTCAATGTTGCTTAGTTACAGCTAGCTAACATTAGGCTATAACGAGCATGCGAATGGCAATAGTATCTGAAACTGTAACTGACTTACCCGTATACATGGAGTGAACGCTTCACACGGCAGACTGCAACCCCTTAATCCCATTAAATAAGACGCCTGTGTCTTCCTTTTGTTTTGTACAGCTTTCTTGGCCCGGTGCAAGTCCACATACTGGTTCACACTGATCGTGTGCAATGCATAAGAATCATCAGCCTTACATTTACATTTTACATTTTAGTGATCGATTTAGCAGACGCTTCTTATCCGATCCGACTTTTACAAGTTAGTGAGTGCATACTTTATTTTTTTCATACTTCTGTGTTCTCTTTTCGACTCCCTCTGCATTTGTAATCAAACGGCAGAATTCTATTCATCTCCTTATCATACTGCTTCTACCAGACATTCCACTGACAAAAAAAGTTGTGACTTGCGACCTATGCCTAGTTTCCTGAAACGGGTCACAAATGTGGAAATATTCAAGGGGTCTGAATACTTTCAGAATGCACTGTATTGTGCTCTTATGCTACATTAAGGCTGTATACTTCTCTACTATAACAGTAACACAAATATTGTCACTGTGTTCAAAGGTCCTGGACCTACCTGGCTGAAGCCCACTACAGTGACTGTTATCGTGGTGATATTGGCAGGCCTGGTGTTTTTTCTCTCTTGGTCAGTAACCCACTGTAGGCCAGAGGCCTGCTACGCCTATTTCCGCAAGGAGCCACAGCCCACTGCACTGGTGAGTGTCAGTCCTACAATCATTGGGTATAATGGATTATTTATTCTCTCTCTCTCTTCTCCTCTCTCTCTCTCTCTCTCTCTCTCTCTCTCTCTCTCTCTCTCTCTCTCTCTCCTCTCTCTCTTCTCCTCTCTCTCCCTCTCTCTCTCTCTCTCTCTCTCTCTATCCATGCAAGGCCACGTGGAAGTCGAGGAGCATGAAGTCCTTGCCTGTAGAAGACATATTGCCTTTCAAAAGGAGACCAAAATGCAATTGTAATCGCTCTCTTTTCCTGGTTCCTGCTATCTGTAGCTCCTTGATTGGCCACTCACAAGAGTCAAGATCTATCTTCAAGATGAGCTTTGTGAGCCAATCAATGCCATCCTTTTAACTGAGCAGCCGAGAGAACTGAGCAGCCATGAGAAAACTAATGACTGAGAACATGAACAACAAGATGAACAGAAAGAGATATATTCTGTTATACAGAATAATATATTATGTTCTTCAAAAACCCATCCAGTCAATTGTGGACAAAATCAATATGTTCAATCAATATGTTCTTGGGTGAGAACCTCCTTCCCTCAGCCAGGGCATTGAAAATGGGTCGTGGATGGGTATTCTAGCATGACAATGACCCAAAACACACGGCCAAGGCAACAAAGGAGTGGCTCAAGAAGAAGCACATTAAGGTCCTAGAGTGGCCTAGCCAGTCTCCAGACCTTAATCCCAAAGAAAATCTGTGGAGGGAGCTGAAGGTTTGAGTTGCCAAAAGTCAGGCTCGAAACCTTAATGACTTGGAGAAGATCTGCAAAGAGGAGTGGGACAAAATCCCTCCTGAGATGTGCGCAAACCTGGTGGCCAACTACAAGAAACGTCTGACCTCTGTGATTGCCAACAAGGGTTTTGCCACCAAGTACTAAGTCATGTTTTGACTGTTCAAATAAACCTACCATTAAAATTATAGACTGATCATGTCTTTGTCAGTGGGCAAACGTACAAAATCAGCAGGGGATCAAATACTTTTTTCCCTCACTGTATACACCTGTTCTGAAAGGCCCCAGAGTCTGCAACACCACCAAGCAAGCAGCACCATGAAGAACAAGGAGCTCTCCAAACAGGTCAGGGACAAAGTTGTGGAGAAGTACAGATCAGGGTTGGGTTATAAAAAAAATCAGAAACTTTGAACAGCCCACGGAGCACCATTCAATCCATTATTTAAAAAATTGAAAGAATATGGCACCACAACAAACCTGCCAAGAGAGGGCCGCCCACCAAAACTCACGGACCAGGCAAGGAGGGCATTAATCAGAGAGGCAACAAAGAGACCAAAGATAACCCTGAAGGAGCTGCAAAGCTCCACAGCGGAGATTGGAGTATCTGTCCATAGGAACACTTTAAGCCGTACACTCCACAGAGCTGGGCTTTACAGAAGAGTGATCAGAAAAAAGCCATTGCTTAAAGAAAAAAAGAAGCAAACACATCTGGTGTTCGCCAAAAGCCATGTGGGAGACTACCCAAAGATATGGAAGAAGGTACTCTGGTCAGATGAGACTAAAATTGAGCTTTTTGGCCATCAAGGAAAACGCTATGTCTGGCGCAAACCCAACACCTCTCATCACCCCGAGAACACCATCCCCACAGTGAAGCATGGTGGTAGCAGCATCATGCTGTGGGGATGTTTTTCATCGGCAGGGACTGGGAAACTGGTCAGAATTGAAGGAATGATGAATGGCACTAAATACAGGGAAATTCTTGAGGGAAACCTGTTTCAGTCTTCCAGAGATTTGAGACTGGGACGGAGGTTCACCTAAGTATACTGCTAAAGCAACGCTTGAGTGGTTTAAGGGGAAACATTTAAATGTCTTGGAATGGCCTAGTCAAAGCCCAAACCTCAATCCAATTGAGAATCTGTGGTATGACTTAAAGATTGCTGTACACCAACGGAACCCATCCAACTTGAAGGAGCTGGAGCAGTTTTGCCTTGAAGAATGGGCAAAAATCCCAGTTACTAGATGTGCCAAGCTTATAGAGACATACCCCAAGAGACTTCCAGCTGTAATTGCTGCAAAAGGTGGCTCTACAAAGTATTGACTTTGGGGGTGGGGGGTTGAATAGTTATGCACGTTCAAGTTTTCAGTTTTTTTGTATTATTTCTTGTTTGTTTCACAATAAAAAAAAATCATCTTCAAAGTGGTAGGCATGTTGTGTATATCAAATGATACAACCCCCCCAAAAATCCATTTTAATTCCAGGTTGTAAGGCTACAAAATAGGAAAAATGCCAAGGGGGGTGAATACTTTCGCAAGCCACTGTATTGAAGAAGAGAATTGTAGAATTGTTGAAGATGCACATGGGGTAATATGTTTGGGAATATTACAAAGTGAATGTGGATGTGATTGTGAGATATTAAACTGATTGAAATTTGGATAATAAATGGATTGAAATTAGTACATTTGGATTGAAATGTGGATATTAAACTGATTGAAATTTGGATAACAACATTAAAATATGGATAAAAAGATATGACACATTAAGCTGATTGACATTTTGATAATAAATTGATTGAAATGATTACTAATAAGATTGAAATTTGGATAATAAGCTGATTGAAATATGGATAACAAGCTGATAGAAAATGGGATAATAAGAGATTGAAATTTAGCTATAATGTACTGAGTGAATGAGAGCTGTCAGGGGACTAGCTCCAGTGTGAATGTGAGCTGAGATTTCCAGTTCTGTATGAGCCGAGTTTTCCAGTTCTGTGTGAGAGAGTTTTTCCATCTATAACGTTATCTGGTCGTTCCGTCCACCACCACCCATCGTAGTCTGGGACTACTAATAATAGCACATGGTGTTATTGAACACGGTGTTGTTTTATATATATATAGGAAGTAGCGGTCTATAGACATTTCTGACTTGTCTATGTGGTCTGGGACCAGTCTCTGGGAGGCTAGAACCGTTGAAGATATATATGGTGCATAGATGCACATGGAGTGCTGTGGGTGTGAATAACTAGGTATATTTATATAGGGAAAATAATGAATACCCCAACCAGTTCTGTGTGAGCTGAGTTTTTAGATCTATAACGTTATCTAGGAGTTCTGTCCACCACCTCCCATTGATCTACAGGTAGTGGGCACTGACAGGAGAAGCCATTGAAAGATATGTGTACCTCTCGGGCTGCTGCGCTGTGATTGTTGCTGCGGTGTGGAGGTGAAAACCTAAAGATTTCTAACGTTATAAAGGGATTCTGTATGGAGATATGAAAGGAGAAAGGACTATTTCCGAATATGCTGTTAAATAGAACACTAGTGAATATTTAAACTCCTGTATGAATAGAACACTGGTGTAGAGGAGGAATTTGTGATGTAGCACAAATGTATAATGGGTTACTAGAGATAAAGTAACATAACATTTGTATAATGGGTTACTAGAGAGCTGATGAAGTAACAATATAAATAATAATAATAATATACAACTTGCACACCCACAGGTAGATGTATGTAAGTGGTCCCGTGTAGCTCAGTTGGTAGAGCATGGCGCTTGCAACGCCAGGGTTGTGGGTTTGATTCCCACGGGGGACCAGTATGAAAAAATATATGCACTCACTAACTGTAAGTCGCTCTGGATAAGACCGTCTGTTCAGAGTGGTCCCTTTATGGATCATTTGGTGAAAATGAGTGTGACACTCTGGCTCCATGGACTTTGATTATTGAGCCAGGGTTGTTCATTTTCATTGTTTGGGTGTATTTCTATGTTGGGTATTCTAGTTGTTCATTTCTATGTTTGGTGATTGTTCTTGATTAGTCATATGACTCCCAATCGGAGGTAACGAGTGTCAGCTGTCGGCTCGTTATCTCTGATTGGGAGCCATATTTAAACTGTGTGGTTTCTCCTTGGTTTGTGGGTTTTTGTTCCTTTTCAGTCAGTGTTACTGTTGGACTTCATTGAGTCGTCTTTTGTTTTGGTTACGTTATTTAAATAAAGTCATGTTTCTTGGACACGCTGCGCTTTGGTCCGCTTCCTCTATTAACGACGACCGTGACAGAAAAACCCACCATAAAAGGACCAAGCGGCGTGTCAAGCGGCAACAGGATCCACCTACACAGGATTTATATCCACCCATAAAGGATTCATGGACATGGGAGGAGATTCTGGATGGTAAGGGGCCTTGGGCACAACCGGGAGAATATCGCCGTCCTCGTGAAGAGCTGGAGGCAGCTAAAGCCGAGAGGCGGCGATATGAGGAGGCAGCACGGAGGCAAGACTGGAAGCCTGTGGGTACTACCCAAGAATTTCTTGGGGGGGGGGCTAAGAGGGAGTATGGCGAAGTCAGGTAGGAGACCTGCGCCTACTCCCTGGACTGACCGTGGAGAGCGAGAGTACGGGCAGACACCGTGTTACGCAGTTGAGCGCATGGTGTCTCCTGTACGCAGGCATAGCCCGGTTCGGTACAGTCCAGCTCCACGTATCGGCCGGGCTAGATTGAGTGTTGAGCCGGATGTCATGAGGCCGGTCCCACGCAGCTGGTCACCAGTGCGTCTCCTCGGGCCGGCGTACATGGCACCAGCCTTGCGCATGGTGTTCCCGGTTCGCCCACATAGGCCGGTGCGGGTTATTACACCTCCCCGTACTGGTCGGGCGACGGGGAGCATCAACCCAGGGAAGGTTGGGCAGGCTCAGTGCTCAAGGGAGCCAGTACGCCTGCACGGTCCGGTATTTCCGGTACCACCTCCTCGCTCCAGCCCAGTACCACCAGTACCTACACCACGCACCAGGTTTCCAGTGCGTCTTCAGAGCCCTGTGTCTCCTCCACGCACTGGCTCTATGGTGCGTGTCTCCAGCCTTTTACCACCAGTGCAGACACCACGCACCAAGCCTCCTGTGTGTCCCCAGAGTCCTGTGCGTCCTGTTGTTGCTCTCCGCACTAGCCCTGAGATGCGTGTCCTCAGCCCGGGACCTCCAGTTCCGGCACCACGCATCAGGCCTACGGTGCGTCCCCAGGGCCAAGCATGCCCTGTTGCTGCTTCCCGCACTAGCCCTGAGATGCGTGTCCTCAGCCCGGTACCTCCAGTTCCGGCACCACGCATCAGGCCTACGGTGCGTCCCCAGGGTCCAGCATGCCCTGTTGCTTCTCCCCGCACTAGCCCTGAGATGCGTGTCCTCAGCCCGGTACCTCCTGTTCCGGCACCACGCACCAGGCCTACGATGCGCCTCAGACGGCCAGAGTCTGCCGTCTGCCCAACGGGGCCTGAACTGTCCGTCTGCCCAACGCCGTCTGAACTGTCCGTCTGCCAAGCGCCGCAGGAACTGCCCGTCTGTACTGAGCCTGCAAAGCCGCCCGTCTGCCATGAGCCTTCAGAGCCGTCCGCCAGACCGGAGCCGCTAGAGCTCTCCGCCAGACAGGAGCAGCCAGAGCCTTCCGCCAGACAGGATCAGCCAGAGCCTTCCGCCAGACAGGATCAGCCAGAGCCTTCCGCCAGACAGGATCAGCCAGAGCCTTCCGCCAGACAGGATCAGCCAGAGCCTTCCGCCAGCCAGGATCCGCCAGAGCCGTCCAGCCAGGATCCGCCAGAGCCGT